AATATTTTATCAAATATTTTTACGGCAGGATAATATTTTGAATGTTTAACCGCAATTTGACGGTCTTCTAGCTCTTGATGTTATGAAATTTCATTCAGTTCTGCCGTCATTGTTTGTAGTAGTGGTACCAGAAAACAATTGACAGAGAACACTGTGTCTAGCAACACAAGGAGATCGAACGCCTCACAAATATCATCGTGTGATAAACTAACCGTTTAGCCTTTCTCTAAAGATCTACGAAAATTCAACAACAAAACACTGAAAAGACATATTTACATGTTTTTTCATATTGAATGAAATCGGACCATTGGATGATTGTAGAAAAGATACCTTTCAATTCTATTTCTACAAATTTAAATGGAGTTTTAATGATTAAACAACGAGTTGTAGAAGGTGGTGTTAAAAGCAACGTTAGTAAAATACCTGCATCGAAATTTTTTTCGTTCATAAAACTAAATATCAAAGCTGTTTCATAATAACAATCGATTTTCAAATCAAAATATTCATAAGAATTGAAAAACTTCGACAGATTTAAGACGTCAAATGTTATAATAGACTTGTATTCATCATGTAATCGTATCAAATTTTCAAGCGGTTCTTGTGGTGCCATAGTACAAATAAAATTAGTGCCAGATTGATGTTGTTGCATGTACAGAGAAATATCGTTAGCAATATCATTAAACGTCATATTAAACAGCTCTTGTTCATCTTTTTGTTGGTCTTTTGTTGAAAACAATAAAGTAACTGATGTAGCGATGTTTGTAGCAGTGTTTGAAACGAATTTGAATAAGTAACATTGTTTTGAATGACGATTTTGAATAAAATTATTACACTCTTCACCCCAATGAATAGCGATGTTTGTTGTTCTACTTGTTGAATTTTTGTAACATTTTTTGAAAATTTGCATTGATGATACGCAATTCGGCTATTGATTCTTGTATGTCTTGATTAGATCGATTCAATAATTCTTGATACGTAGAATGTTCCAATTTTCGAATACGATCAAGAACATTATAAGCAAAATTAGTTTCTGTACCGGCGGAAATTACATATGAAATTAATTGTGAATATTACGTTTGTTCCTTCATCGTAAATTTTAACTGTTGATTGATACAATTTTGACAATAAAACATAATTCATCTGTTTCATTGATATATTCATTAATATTGTTTCAAGTGTATCCAAACCAGCAACAGTAAGATAATAGATAATTTCATGGATATTCAGAAGTTTTTCCAACGTTTGTTTTATTTCAACATTTATCAGTATTGATTTTTTTCTTTCTACAATTTTGATATATCGACAAAAACAATAATAAATGAATAACTCACTTGTGTCGTCATATGAGATGGTGACAAAACCAATTGTTTAAGTGTTGTAATCAATTGACTGACATTATAGACAATACTGAATGGATTTGTATTGTAGAAAAATGCCATATGAATTGTTTGTAATAATAAACTTTTTATATTTGTTTGTAATTGTAATTCAGATAATCCCATTAATCTTAGTAATTCTGATTCCGTTGTTGGTAAATGATAATCAGTTTTGTCACTTTCATCATTTTTAATACTTTTAATCAATTCATCCATTGGTTCTGTTGTACCTCGTTGTATTTGCATATAACGGCAATCAGTCATAGTAGAGTAAATATAAAACGCTTAAACTCACGTACTGATCGTTGTATATGTGTTGTTCTCTCTTTTTCAGTTAAAAAAATTTCAATAGTTGATACGTCTTTTTTAATACGATCAAGTATATTTTTTCCACTCTCTGTAATATCATAACTGTCATCGTTCGATTATATTGATGTGATGAACAAATGATATTCTCCAACTGTCCAACGATCTAAATCACAAAATACTTGATTTTTCTTTTCTGACATAAAGTTCCATTTGATCAGTTATTAGTATTTCTGAATAGATTTGTCAACTTTGAATCGAATTCCATAATGAACTAAGCGATATTTTTATTAAATCAGAATAATAATCCAAAAATAATTTCATTGGATCATTTTTGATAATTTCTGTTCCATGTACTTCTAGCTTCAACACATCTTTTATTTTTTGTATTAAAATTTGCAGCTGTTTAATGTCCTTGGTATTCATCAATTGTGTCGTTGAATTAAGATTTTCTAAGAATTTTCGAGCTATTTCCAATGATGCAGTTAACATTTTCGACGATTGTTGACTTTGAGATTTTGTTTGTTGAGCATCTGTTATTATTATGTCATCTTGATTCGACATTGTTGTGATTTTTGACGTTAAATCAGCATATTCTTTAGCATATTTATTTACTTCTTGAAAATATTTGATTAATGAGTTTTTATTCATGAAATGATACATATATTCAATGTCTATTTTAACATTCAACATATTCACTCTATTAAGGTTAATAGCATACTTCCATCCTTTAGCTAGAAGACTCTCCTCTGCTGCAGCTAAAGCACGATAAGAATAGTTCGGCTTGTCCACGTAACGCGTTATTCCGTCACGATTTTTGTTGTTTTGTGAGTCTATTACCGTCTGAATAAAAGGAAACTAAGGAACCGTTTACATCTAGTCTTGTAGAGAAAAGTGAGCTGAACAAAATGTGATATTTTTCGTTTTTGCAGAATATCGTGGTCGTCAAGTACAACGAAAGTTTTACGAGCCCTATTTTGACGGACTTTTGATTGGGGC